CCCCAAAACCCCAAAACCCCATCAGGTAAAATTATATAGCTCTTCTTGATATATTTCAATAATTCACTCAGATTAAATAATAAGTTTAACTAATATGAATTTTTAATACATTTATTTTTTTTTACTCTTGGTTATATCAGTACTTTTATTACTGAAGCCATAAAAATACTCTATTTCGATTTCCTTGGTATCATAAAAATGAGCTTAAACAGAATAGTTTTGACAGAATGAGACCCTTTAATCCGCATACATTTTGCAAAGATATTCAATAATAATTTGATTGTGTGTGATAAGAATGACTTATAAAGTAACCTCCATTTTTCCACAAACTTAAAACTTATTGTAACATAAACTTTTTAGAGTTATATAATCCTGTCTCTACTTGCTAATACAACACTTAAATGCGTTCAAGAATATATATTCCAAATAAGTAAAGGAAAAGACCGAAATTATAGGAAGAAAAAAAATAAAAGTGTGAAATTGGGATACTTAAACTAATGAGATTACATTTGAAAGAATACTATTTCATTCCAATGAAATGTACGATAAGATTCAATTACTTCTTTTATATTATAGATCAGGAGGAGGATAACTCAATCAACCTGATGTTTAATTTTAACTGATAAATTGAAGTTAAATAATTAAAGATCATTAGTAATATACTTACCTTTAAAGCCAGTAAGTTAATAAGTGATAATATGCATTTTAGTTGAAAACCTCAATACAGATGGGAAATTTTTTAGTTTTTAGCATTGATCAAGATCTTTATATCTCTCAATTACCAGAAAATCTAGAGTCTCTGAGATGTTAGATGTGAAAGTATAGCCTTAATATATTTTTAACTTATTTTTTCTCAAGATTGCTAGAATGAACTTTGAGTAGGCATTTTTTTGGAATGCATTTCATTCCAGTTTATTGATTTTTCTAACCTGATAGGAATATTACTTTAGTCCTGATTCACCTCTAGCAATTACTGGAACATATCTCTATTCTATTTACCTTAAATCACTTTTATAGATCTGCAAAACTTTCAGCTTTGCTATTACAGGTCTACTATTCAGATGACTGGATGATACCCTAATTTTACAGCTCCTTCGTATCAGGAAATTATGCTCATCTTCTAATTTCAGTCAACTATTTTTGTTTTCAGGACCCCCGAGTTTTTGAATTTTTAAAGTATAGTACTTCTCGTTATTATATTCTTCCATAAATTAAACAATTTTCTATCAATACTAACTAGCTTATGTTTAGCTTAAATATGAATTAAGAAAGGTGTTATAGAAAATTTTCTTTAGCTTTCTGATCATTCTCCTGATCATAATCATACAATTTGAAGGTCACTGTCGTGAATGACATAGTTTATGCTATTGCTCTTAGCGAGTATTCATTAGATTTATATTCTGATTTATTCCATTGGTTTTAGAAGAATCAAATTTAGGTGAAAAATACTTTCATTGATATTTTACACTTGCTAAAAAAAAAATGTGAAAAGTATTATTTGAAACCCAAGCATAGCTTTCTTAAGTAAGACAAAACTCCTAAACTTTTTTGAAACTGCAAGATCAAATGACTTTAATTTCTTAAATTCTCACATACTTCTTAAGTTTAGAGTATGCAAGGTAACGGATAACAGGTTATTAGAACTTCATAATCTAATATGGTACGAAGTGAAAGAATAGATGCGAAGGATAAAAATTTTAATGAAATAGGAATTAGCACAAAAGCTTTTTATATAAGATGCCAAACTAAAGAAGGAGAGAATTCATACTAAAAACTTCTCTTATCATTATAAATTAATAGATGATAGAAGTTTTAGGATGTCTAATATTTAAGACTTTTATCTTGTTGATTATGATGAAAATCCATTGTGCCTTGTTGCTCACTTTTATACGATTTCTTTTTTATAAAATGAAAGAAGAGTTTAATTAAAGCATTAAATTTGAGGATGAAATATTGGCTATTTTTGAACAAGAACATTCTAATAATTAAAAACAAAATCAAAGCAAGATGATATGCTTAATTCTCAAAAACCTTGATGTTCACATTATATAATGAGTTATATTGGATCTCAAAGAGAAAACATAATTCAAATGCATATTTTGGAATTGATTCTTAAAAGTTGGAATTCCTTGATATCGGCTCTGAGAAAGGATAAGGTACCTATTTCTTTATCTATTCTTCCAATAAGATTATCTGTATAAATGAAGGGCAATTGTTTGACTTCATAGACACAGGAGAAAAGAGGAGTTATATGAATTTATATATGATAACGTAATAAAATATCAATGAGTAGAAGATTATGCCAAGAAATTAAATAAGTTAACTATGCATTTATTCTTTAACTATTTAATAATATATAAAATTAAATATAAAAATGTGGATATTTTTTAGACTGTTTCAATTATGTTAACAAATGAAATTAATTAATAAGGTAATTAATTCTTCCTTTGTCATTGTACAACTATGTCTGATATTCTTACACTTTACAATTGAAGAAACTGCAGCGTCTTCATATTTTTCCTAACCAAAATGTGGGAATACTCCAATATTACCACTGGAAATTGGTCTGGGATAAAACTATCCTTTGTGGATCCAGAGTGCAACTGTAAATACAATCGGCGATATATCTTTTGGAGGAATGATATATAATTCATAAATGATTGAGGACAAAATGTTCCTATCATAATTTTAAAATTAAGGAAATATTGTTGCTTGGATGAAACACCTATCTATAATTGGAGTAGAACTTAAATAAATTGATTAGATGATGGCAGTTTATCAATCTTTGAATTTCTACGTATTAATAGATTAAACATATTTCTTGTTAATTACAGTTTCAGGTAGTGTGTAGAAATAAGTCTAGATACTTGAGTAGGGTATTCCTAACATTTTAAAACATGTAAGCAAAATGTACAAAATTAACTTAATACTTTTAGAATTTAGTTACGTATCCAAGTGGTCCTGATTTTTTAGTTTTTTTGAGTAAAAAAAATAAAAGGCTATATAAAATGGAGTTCGATTCAAATTTATTAAGCACAGACTAGTCCTATTTTGATTTGGTTACTAATGTCTTTGAAACAGCCGAGGTAAAACCATTTACAGGAAGTGATGGAATAACGTACATAGCTGCAGTATTTAGATAGGGGACACCAGAATCAACTAAAAGCAAATATTTTGCTTTACACATAAATTTCTTGATTTCATCATACTTAAGACATCCACTTATCCTCCTACTACTGCTTATCTAACATATTTTTAATATGGAAATTAGATTGATACCAAATACAACAAGCTAATTTTTTCAGATTTCGTCAATATGGATTTCGATTTTTTAGGATGTTTCTATTCTGAGGAACCTTAAAGTAATGGTGAATAATTATATGGACTCTATATAGTATAAAATAATACAAGAAAAATTACTCTTTAGATTGCAAGTTACTAAAACAAACCATGTCCTTGTATAGAAGTTTATTTTCTGCCATAATATTCTTAATTCGGAGCTTTTTTTGGATCACATGACGCAATTAATTACTATTCTTGGAATTATAATTTAAACTCTTTTTCCGTTAGAGATGTCAAAATAATTTTGGATCCTCTTAAAGAGTTCACTACAGTTAGAGGCATAATAAAAAATAATATTTTTGTTATTTACGGAAACAAAAATTACAGGGGCTATATTGGATCTAATTTCTTTTAGTATTCATGCAAATAATAAGAAGATTATCCTGCTTAATAGAACTACATATACTAATATACCAATATAAAATTCACTGGGAATACATTTGGATTTTAGATGAACTAAGTTTTAAATGAATTAACTTTACAATCAATTTCTAATACTGCTGTTGAATTGGTAGATTTGAAAATCTAGAATAATATTTTTATTTCTACTTCAGCTGGTGCATTTAAATCGGTTTGTTAATCATCAATATTTTCACCCTCAGTATTTTTTACTATCAACCAAGATAACTCTTAAATAACACAAACCTGCTATACATTTGAAGAATGTACAATAACATTTGGAATTTTTTCTATTGAAACTTGCCAAATAAATCTATAATAACTGACATTTAATTATACCGATTCAAATCAAGCTTACTTATTACTATATTCTACAACAAATCATTTCTTGAGTAATGAAAATTCTGTACTAAACATCTATATTACTGTCAAGAAAACATTTAATCTATCTGAGTAAATAAATTTAAATGCTGTCAATTTATACCTAAAGACACCATTATCAGTTCTTGATTATGTAGTATAAAGTTCAAATATATAAGTCTCTGTAAAAATAATATGCTCTGTACTAAAACCATCTAGTACTACTTAATTTGAAGAAGAGTACTATCTAGGGTAATCTATAAAGTCTATATTATTACCCAATCTTTCTCTTGATAAAGCATGTAGCGTATCGAATATGGCAATGATGATATAAGTTGCGGATTCTCTATCCTTACCCTAGTTTATTTAAAAGAATTAAAAAAAGATTCTCATATATACAGATGATTTTGAAAACTTAGGTTCTTATTAAATTATTGCATAGTTAAGCTACTCAGTAGAATATTTAGGTGTAACAGAAAAAAGAACTATAACCAAGGTGATAAATCTAAAAATTAAGGGAAATTATTTAAGCTTGCCATTTAATGATGCTCCTTCGTTCACTCAGGAATTATCATCAATTATAATGCATGAATAAGAATAACTGACTTACAATTTACCTTCACTCACTGATCAATAAAACGATTAAATTTTTGTTACAGTCGATTTAAAGTCTACATTTATCTTCACTTAGTTCAATGGCAGCTAATTTATCTTTAGTCCTAACTTAGGTAATAATGGTAATTATTAAATTCAGATCATTCTTAAAGATAATAATCGAAATCCTTGATAAAGAAAGTACAATATAGAAATATCTATTTTAAAATACATTGATCCTGAAGAAAATTTTTAAAATGACTACAAAAACTCCTTATTAATTAAAAAGTTCATGAGACCTAAAATTCAAACTATTAATATATTTGGAGAAGTTAAGATATACTTTGATTAAGATATATTATGGACAACTAATGAGTTTCAAATTAAGTAGGACAAAGCTATTTAATTAGAACTAGTAAATGAAGATGATACAGTATAAAATTACATAAGAGAATGGAAAATTATCAAAAACTAAACTAGATACTTATATATTCAGCTCTATTTTTATGATTCTATGATTGTATCTCAATCGACTGTAATTTAATGATTCTTTAAGTAACATAGGTACTGGATAAACTAAAAGTTAAATTTAATAACCCATTCTACTTCAGATCTATCAACTTAAATTATTTCATTGAAAAAGATTATGAGATGATTGGGAGTATACCTAAATAGTTAATCATGAATGGTACTTAAATTTAAGATTATAGTTAATAATTTAGATTAGATCAAAGCTCTTGGAGCCTTAGCAGAATCAGCTGCCTCAATATCCATTATTTAATTACTAGCCAATGGGTTTTTATCAATTTTCCTAGGTGTATCCATGAAATTTCTATGGAATCTTTTCACAACTCTCTAAATTTTAGTGCACCTATCACTAATTAACTTACCCATTCCTACTCATGTTATTTACTTCTTTTAATAACTGGTAAATCTTGCGTCTATGAATCTTATACCATAGGATATTACTGATAAGGTATTCTAGCATCTTCATTGATTTTTTTTAGATATTTAGCATTTTTAGCTCAGATTAAGATAACAAAAGTTAGAACGATGAAGTGCTTTTTGAACAAATTGATATCTTTATAAACCAAACTACTGAGTTATTGACTTAACTTTTCTTTTACGCTATGATATATCTAATCCACTTAAAATTCTAGGATTTATAATGATCTGCCTGGTATTAATTGCCATTCGACTATTGAAAAATCATCAAAAGTAATATATTATAGCACTTTGCTTAATCATTATCTTAGAGTTCTCCAATCAATGTTGAAACTTAAAAATCGATTAATGTTTAACCCAGTTATTAGATTTTTTATGAAAAACTACATTTAGAATTGCATTTCAGCCTTTTTTGTTCTAAGAAATGTAAGTAGTTAAATATTTTAATTAATTAGATAGATAGAAAAGAAGTAACAGCCATACAAATGTTGCTTGCAGTTTTCCAACTATTTGTAATTGTCTACACACCTTTTATAATGTACCAGTATATGATTGAGAATATTGGAAGACTTGAAAATATATCTTATAAGTCTTAATTTGGAAACATGTATCAAAGATTGAAGTCAAATCAATAATATTCTTTATTTTAGTGTTTTATCTTTTTCATCAGAAGATTTGTGTATATATTTGGATTAATAGCATTTTATCAGACACCTACGTTTTAGTTGATATATGCAATTTTAGCTAATTTTACTTATTTGTTATTTATAATACATTTTAAGCCTTTCGAAAGCAAATATGATTATATGATAGAGATAGTAAATGAGATGATTATTAGCATCTGCACATACTTGATACTTGCTTTTACTCTATATAATTACAGTATTTAAATGAAAATATAAATTGGTTGGGTAATGATAGCTTTTACTTTAATTGGAGTATTGTTAAACTGGCTCATGGTTATTATCTTTATCATACATAATTTGATTTTGAGAATAAAATTAAAGCTCAAGCAAAGAGGAATATCAAAGAGTAATTTAAAGTCAAATGATCAAGATTTTTTATAATTTGATATTGATAACGGTAGTTTTCCTTACTTAGATAATTAAAATTGGCTCTAACAAAATGATGAAATCGGAATTAATAAAGAAGCCATATAAGGTTTTTCTTATAATAATACTTAAAAGTTCAATACCTCCCAAAATATTCTACTAGGAACTTCATTTAATTCATAGGATAGCAAGCACTTTATGGAACCAAATATAAAGAATAGAATTTTTACATATAAAGTTAATTCTGCTCTTGACAATGCAACTAATAATTATTAGCTCAGTAGTTTGAAGCAAAAATTAAAGAATTTTAGAGAAGATTATTCTGGCTTAAATTTAAAGAAAGAATCTTTGGATAATATTAAAAATAATCAAAAGTCTAGCGATAATCATCAATAAATAAGAAACAGTGAGTAAGAATAGAAAGGTTAAAACACCAATTTTCAAACTGCTTAATAAGTTGCAACTTAATAATTAGAATAGTTATTTGATAGATTAAGAAAATAATCAACATTTGGAAATATTACCAAGAGTTGAATTAATGTTTTATTTTTTTCATTTTGTCAATTATTTTGATGCTATGGGGTTTTGGGGTTTTGGGGTT